AGCAGGTTAGTCTAACACCTTGTACTCTTTCAAATGCCTATGACTTTAAGTTGTATCTATATAATGAATCAAAATCATATTAGTCTTGTTTCATCTATAATCCCTCAAAGATGACTAACCAGGACATTTAGGACAATCACTATAGTTTGTCTAGGGATACACCTATCATATTGAACATGAAATTGTTATGATAACAAAAGAAAAATTCATTAAATAACAATGTGTATGGTACAATGATTGGCCTTAGGGCACAATTTCTAATAGACATAACCTGAAGGCTTTGTCTGTCTAAAGGACTCTGGTAAGGTATGCAAACTTCAAAGATCCATTTATGGATTGAAGCAAGCATCTTGGAGTTGGAATTAATGTTTTGATGAAGTAATCAAAGAGTTTGGATTCATTCAAAACATAGATTAACATTATGTTTACAAAAGTGTTATATGTAGATGGCAGTACAATTATATTTCTAGTGTTATATGTAGATGACATCCTGCTCATTGGGAATGACATTCCTACCTTATAGAATGTGAAGTCTTGGTTAGAAAAATCTTTCTTTGTAAAGGACTTAGGTGAAGCCAATTACATCCTTAGGATTAAGATCTATAAAGATAAATCCAAAAGGCTTATAAGCCTAAGTCAAAGCATATAAATAGACAAGATATTGCATAGGTTCAATTGGCAAGATTCAAAGAAGGATTTCATCCCCATGTCTCATAGCATTTATCTCAATAAAGACCAGTGTCCTAATACACCGTATCAGTGAGATTGCATGAGTAAGGTTTCATATGCCTCGACAATTGGATCTATCATGTATGCCATAATGTGTACTCAATCAGATGTTTCATTTACCTTGAGTATGACCAGCAAATACCAAGAAGATCTAGGAGAGGATCATTAGACTTCTGTCAAGAATATCCTAAGGTACTTAAGAAGTACAACCTCCTCTCATATATCTACTTAATAAAAGAGAAGACTATAATGTTACCATTTCCTCAACTCATATCACAATAATCAAATTCCATTTTAAAAGCTTCGGCCAAAGACTTACTTTATAAAATCAATTAAATCTCAATTCAATCAAAGAAAACATTGCGGAAATAAATCATACACTTTCCAAATACATAATGGACATAACCCACCAGCATTCCTAGCTCAAATGCATGCATTTCAGGACACAAAATAAAACTGAATTTTGGTATGTATGCCGTAGCATGTGGCACAAAGCCACATGCTCAACCTATTTGTGTTGTATACTGTGGCATGTGTATCCATGCAATGCGGCACGCTTGTCCATTTTTTTTGCTATTATTTTGACAACAACATGATGAACTTCTAGCCTATACCATTTTCGCATACGACATCCAATTGGAGTGATTCAAGCGCCCACACGAAGCTTACATCGTATACTAACTAATGAGATAGATTTAAACATGATCTAATGGTCCAATCAAAATTTAGACACCCAGGTGTAAAAAGTCACTTTTTCTAAAAAATTTGCGCACCCAAGCTCTCAATTCAATCCATTTCTCTCATTAGACCATATTAAGCCTTGAATCAAGTCCAAAAGGATGTAATAAACATGATTGACCTCAATTAATCACAATCATATTCATATATCAAAATTTGACCCTTTTGTGGCCAATTTTCACAATTTACTAATTTCACAAACTATGCCATTTCTTGGCATAACATAGCCCACTTAGCTACTTCTTAACTTATACATTTGCAATCCTATTCATAATACAATCTTAGCCCCTAAATTACTCATTTCATTATAATTTTAGCTTTTGGCTTAAAATTCACCTATCATAATCAAAATACAATTTTAGCCCCCAAATTACTCTTTTCCTCATAATTTGTCCTTTCACTTAAGATTCACCAACACACAATCATTGCATCCCAAATATACTCAAATCAAAGCCCTTTTGTCTCAAATAACACATATACATATAATTCGGGTTTGATTTCACAAAAAATCAATTCAATACATGCATGCAACCTATGGCAACTCATATAAACTTATCTATACAATACTTCACTTCAGTTTATTACACAACCTCAGGGTACACGGGTTTTTAACTCAAGCCAGTCCAAACTCTCTTCCCTTGGTCTAATCACTTCCCGATCCTGTAAACATGTAACCACAGGGGTGAGATAAAAATCTCAGTAACAGAATAACTCACTCCTATTAACTATCACATGCAACAATATGAAAGTAAACAAAGTATACCATTAAAACCTCATAAAGTAGTATTTACATCATATCACATTCATATTTCACTTTTCATCAATCTTGAAGAATTCCATGCTATCTAAAGATATTTCATCATAAAATAAAATACTAGCATGATCTCTACTAACCAAACCTCCAAATCACCTTGACATGAAATCATAGGCTCCTCTTAGACTAATGTACACTCTCATTAGTCTTAAACTTACCTGTAGTGGTGGAATCACTTAGCCGAAGATGTTGTAATGCACAATACAGACTATGATTTTCCCCCAATACACACAATGGGGCATCGTTGACTCCCACCCATACCATAAAGATACTAAAGAATCTCTCATCTCTAACACAGTATGTTAATTGGCACTCAGGAGATCTTCTCTAACATAGCACCTTTCAAGGCATTAACGAGAATTGTTTCCAACATTGCACCCTAATAGGGTACTAAGGAAACTTTGCCATATAATCTTTATCATCCCCTATACTCGAGTGAACTCCCACTACTCAGATCATGCTTTCTCGAACCATTTAAGGTTCCCTTTTTATAATTTACTTTTTCTTATACATAACATATATCTATATATCACTTTACATTACAAAACACAATTTCAATGCTCATTTCAATCAAAAGTTATTTTATACACACAATTACTCAATGCCATAAAACATGCTCAATTCAAAACTAGTTCATACATTACATAATATAATAACATACAGTTACAATAAACAGTCAAACAAAGGAAGTTATTCAGTTACCTCAACCCTTTTATCACTAGAAAGGTTACCTGTGGATTTCACTATCACACAAGCTTATCTCAATCTTCCTTCATCTACTCATGCGTCTAATATGCCAATCTGAACACATTTGGCACATTTTAGTCATTTGGCCCATCTTGACCAAGAACTCATTTTTACTATTTAAGGCTATATTCATCCGTAAACTCTTTTCCATTTATCCATTCTAAGTCTATAACTACACAATTACTACTTTACATTACCTTAACTGGTCTTATTTCACTCAGATTAGATTTTGTCCTAACTTTCTCTCTTTAAAGGCTAAAATTGAGCTTTCAGGTTCAAAGCTCTACAGTTCAGCTCTAAACTAGTAACAAAGCTCTAATTTAACTTCCAAGAACCTTTTTATTACTATTGGACAAGAATCAAACCCTCAGATTCCATCAATTCAATTTCCCTATAACTCATTTTCAAAGAAATTTGTGTAGAATGGAAGGTAAGAGTTATACGTAGCTTGCCTAGCAAGTTACCGATCTGAATCACCTTTCACTGCTCTAAAATGACTTAACCTATCTTCTCAGCCCTTCTCCTTTCTCTATTTCGTGTGTTCCTCAATTTCTCTCCTCTAAAATTTTCTAAAATTCATGACTTATGAAGTGAATTTCTAGTCTATGCACCATGGTGCATGTAGCACAAGCCACGGCGCATGGCACGGTGAGATTCATTCTCACCACACGCACTTGCTTCAATCTAAAACGCACTCCTATCACCCATATCTACTCATATAACACACAAACAAGTCAAAATACTAATTAATCATCCGAATTTCTAATCCCACTTTAATTTCCACTTCACCCTTGATTAACCTTTAAACTTAGGATTAAGAAATTCAAGATCTTACAGTTCTTCCCTCCTTTTAAGAATTTTGCCCTTAAAATTCATAAAAGACATAAATATATACCTATAGAAATAGGTGAGGGTATTACTGTTTCATTTTATCCTCTGCCTCCCAGGTAGCATCATCAGGAGCCATGCCTCACCAGAAAACTTTAACTAACCATATGGTCTTATTCCTTACTTATTTCTCTTTCACATCTATGATTTGCTCTGGCTTAGCCTTATAGGTTAAATTCTCCTAGAGTTTAATCTCCTCTGGTTCTATCACGTGTAAAGGATCATGTTGATATTTCTTGAGCTGTAACACATAAAACACCTCATGCACACCCAATAACTATGGTGGCAAAGCAATCTTGTAGGCAACTGGTCTAATTCTCTCTAGAATCTCAAAAGGACTAATGAATCTAGGAGTCAATTTCTTGACTCTTATCAATCTCCCGATTCCCATCACTAGTGTAACCCTCAGAAATATATGGTTTCCCACCAGGAGCTTTAATAGCCTTATACGCTTATCTGCGTAACTCTTTTGCCTACTCTGTGCCGTCAACATCTTTTGCTTGACCAATTCAATCTTTTAAGGTGCCTGATCTACAATATTTGGACCTAACATACTCCTTCCACTCAACTTTATTTAGCAAAGAGGTGACCTGCATGTTTTCCCATATAATGCCTCATATGGTGCCATTTGTATATTGGAGTGGTAACTATTGTAAGCAAATTTCGCTAAAGGAAGATGGCTATCTCAGCTACCTTTCAACTCCAATACACAAGATCCCAACATATCCTCTAGAGTTTGTATAGTTCGTTCTGTTTGCCTATCTATTTGTGGATGATATGCTGTACTGAATCTCAACTCTGTAGCCATGGCACGTTGTAAAGCTCCCTAAAATTTAAAAGTAAATCTTGGGTCTCTATTAGAAATTATACTTTTTGGCACACCATGCAACCTTACCACTTCTCGAATATAGATCTCTGCCAGCTTTTCTAAATAATCACTAATCCGAATAGCTAAGAAATGAGCCGATTTAGCAAGTCTATCGACTATAACCCAAAGGGTATCATGTCCAGATTGAGTTCTTGGTAACCTAATTAACAAATCCATAGAAATGCTTTCCCATTTCTACGTAGGAATATCCAATAGTTATAACATTCCTGTTGGTCTTTGGTGCTCTATCTTAACCTTTTGATAGGTCAAACACTGAGTCACAAACTCTGTTACATCTTTCTTTATACCAGGCCACCACAAATACTGCTTTACATCCTGGTACATCATTGTACCTCTCGGATAGATCATGTATTTGCTACAATGAGCCTCATTCAAGATAACTTTTCTCAAATCATCATCATCAGGCATACAAATCCTATCCCGATAAACCACAAAGCCATTATCATTGAATCCAAACTCAATAGCTTGATCTGCTTTAATTTCTTCTTTAATCTTTAAAAGACTTTCATCTTCTAGTTGTGCCATTCTCAAATCCTTCCAGAAATCATTGCTAATCTTAATGGAATATGCACTAACTAGTACCTTCAATGGCACATCTTATTGCGACTCCATGAATGACTCCATCAATCTATGTTCTTTAACCATAAGACTTACCACATGCAAAGTCTTTCAGCTCAAAGCATCAGCAACCACATTAGCTTTACTCGGATGGTATTTCAATTCAAAGTTATCATCCTTAAGAAGCTCCATCCAACTTCTTTGCCTCATATTCAGTTCCTTCTGATCCAATAAGTATTTCAAAATCTTATGGTTGTTAAACACAATGAACACTGCACCATACAACTAATGGCACCAAATCTTTAAAGCAAGCACTACTGTTGCAAGCTCTACATCATGCACAGGATAATTCTCCTCACGTTGTCTCAATTATCATGAAGCATAGGCTACCACTCGACTATCTTACATTAAGACATAACCACGACATTTCAAAGATGCATCTGTGTATACCTTATAAGATAACCTTGGATTAGGGATAATCAACACTAGTACTATGGTTAATTTCTCTTTCAGCTTCTGAAATGCCACTTCACACTAGTCGTCCCATATATAAGGCCGATCTTTTTGAGTTAGTTTAGTCAATGAAGAAGCTATCTGGGAAAATCCTTAGATAAATCTTCGAGAATACCCAGTTAATCCTAGAAAACTATATATCTCTATAACTGAACTAGGACGTTCCCATTCTAACACTACATCAACCTTTTGCGGATCCACTAAAATTCCATCCGCTAACACCACGTGTCCCAAAAATCTCACTTCTCTTAACCAAAACTCACAATTATTGAGCTTGGCATACAACTATGTTTCAAAATCTATAGCACTATTCTCAAATGCCTTGCATGTTGCTCCTCATTCTCAGAATAGATTTGGATGTCGTTTATAAAGACCACTACAAACTAATCTAAGTACGGCCTAAAGATTTAGTTCATATAATCTATGAACACTGCTGGTGCATTAGTCAAATCAATAGGCATAACTAAGAATTCATAATGGCCATACCTAGTTTTGAAAGCTGTCTTGGTTACATCTACTGCACTAATTTTCAACTGATGATACCCCAACCTTAAATCAATTTTTGAAAAGATTGAGGCACCAGCTAATTAATTTAAAAGATCATCTATCCTTGGTAGAGGATACTTGTTCTTCATAGTTACCTTGTTTGATTGTTGGTAATTGATGCACAGTCACAAACTACCATCCTTCTTTCTCATAAATAATACTAGTGATCCCCAAGGTAATACACTTAGTCTGATGAATTCCTTCTCTAGCAAATCTTCAATTTGCTTCTTTAGCTTAGCCAATTCAGATGGTGACATTCTATAAGGAGCCTTTGATATTGGTTTGATTCCAAGAACCAATTTTATCGAGAACTCAACTTCCCTTTCGAGAGGTAATCCAGTCATTTCTTGTGAAAATACCTTTGGGAACTCACTTACTACCCCAATTTTCTCAATTCCACAATCATACATTGTGCTGGCTATAAAGAATACCATATAGGCATCACTACCTTACCAAATTAACTTCTCAGTACTCACTATCGATAGAAACTTAGGTTGCTTTAAAGATTCCATAGCTGCGCACAACATTGGTAATAAAACCACTCTTTTGGCACAATCAAGCATAGCATTATTTACTGCTAGCCAATCCATGCCAATTATCACATCTATTCCTCTCATAAGAATATAAATCAGATTAATCTTAGAAACTCTGTCCTCAAATTGAATCTCCACATTCTGATAAGCTTGACTTGTAATACTAGATGATCCAGAAGGTAACGTCACTTTAATAAGCATAGACAATTCTTGTAAAGATAATTTTAATCTATCCACACATTCCTTAGAAATAAAAGAATAGGTGGCACCCAAATCAAACAATGCCTCTATTTTGTGACCACTTATAGAAATCATACCTCTGATCAAATTCGGAGATGCTCTAGCCTTTTCTTGTGTAACTGCAAATACTCAGTCAGGAACTATTGATCTCTGCTCAATCCCCTCAACTCTGCCCTCTAGGCATTGCCTCGTTATATGACCTAATTTACCATACTTTTAATAGGCCTAATATCTTCTCGAATGAGATTTTTCACATATGTTGCATTGAGGCATCCTTCCAGTATTTAAAGTTAGAGTTGGAACATAGAACACTTACCTCAAAGACTGTGGAGGCCCAATTCTCACACCTCCACCCCCTTTGCATTGACCCTCTATACACAGGTCGAGACTACGATCCTTAACTGAAACCTCTTCTTTCAGAAGAACTAGAACTGCTCGCACTGAACCCAGTCCTCTTTGAGATTCCACCAGTAGGACCTATAGGAGATGAAATCTTCCTATACTATCTCATCTCCTTTCAGCACTTGCCTCTCTATAATGCCTAGCTGCTACTCTTAGCTTGTGGTACATTTCCTCATACGTCATCACATCAAGCAGTGCTATCTGTTGCCCGTACTGGAGTCTCATCTTTTTAAGTAATCTCTCAGATTTCCACTTTGAGTCATTACTATATTGGAGATATGTGGAATAAGCTGATAAGTCATTAAATCTTATAAATTCTTCCTTGTCCAGGTCTCCCTGCCTGAGAGCATGAAATTCCTCTTCCTTTTCAGTTTTAAATGAGACTAGAAAGTATTGATCAAAGAATATTCTCTTGAACTCATCCCAGCTCAAAGGAATACCACCAGTTGGTCTCACAAATTCCCACCATCTCTTAGTAGTACTAACCAATTGCATTGTGACCAAGATAACTTTTTGCTCTGAAGTATAGATCACCACTTTAAAGATGGTTTCCATTTATTTTATCCACAATTTTGCTTCACCTTCCCTCATACTTCTATCAAATGTCAGCGGATTGAATCGAGCAAACGTCTTCCAAGCACGATCAATGAATAGATCAATGCCAGGAATCTTTGGTCCACTACCTAAATTCTGAGACGGTCCAGGTCTACTATGTGCTTCTTGTACTAGGATATTTTGAGCTTCAACTCTCTCTTCTTGCTCTCTACCCCTTAGGATCATGTCATGATCCCTAACAGTTTGTCTTATGCCAACCACTATATCCCTAAGCTCTTCTAATAGCTCATCACATCTATCCCTTTGCGGCTCAACCGGTTGAACTTTCATCTCTCATTCCTCCTCTACAATTCGCCTAGATACTACAGTTCTTGCATGAGTGCCTCTCATATGGTACTATTTTCTCCCTTCTTAAGGACAAAAATAAGAAACACAAAGGGCATCGAGAAAAAGTTGTGTAATGAACAAGATAAGTTGTCATATTTCTAAATGAATGCATCAATAACAATCAGGTCTCAACAACCCAGAAACTATTAACAAAATGTAATCTCCTCTCATATATCTACTTAATATAAGAGAAAATTATGGTGTTATCACTACCTCAACTCATATCACAATAATCAAATTCCATTTTAAAAGCTTTGGCTGAAGATTTTCTTTATAAAATCAATTAAATCTCAATTCAATCAGAGAAAATACAGTGGAAATAAATCATACACTTTCCAAATATATAGTGGACATAACCCACCAGCATACCTAGCTCAAATGCATTCATTTTAACACACAAAATAAAACTAAAATTTGGTATGTACACTCCAGCATATGGTATAGAGCCATATGCTGGCCCTATCTGTGTCATATGTCGTGACATGCTTGTCCGTTTTTCTGCTGTCATTATGACAGAAAAATGATAAAATTCCAGTTTGCACTATTTTTTCATACAACATCCAATTGGAGTAATTCAAGTGCCCACATAAAGCTTAGCTCGTATACTAACTAACGAGATAGGTTTGGGCATGATCTAATAGTTCAATCAAAATTTAGGCACCCGAGTGTAAAAAGTCACTTTTTCTAAAAACTTTGTGCACCCAAGCCCTCAATTCAATCCCTTTCTCTCATTAGACCACATTAGTCCTTAAATCAAGTCCTAAAGGATCTAATATATCTAATTGACCTCAATTAATCACAATCACACTCATATCTTAAAATTTGACCCTTCTATGGCTAATTTTCACAATTTATTAATTTCACAAACTATGCCATTTCTTGGCATAACATAACCCATTGGCTACTTCTCAACTCATACATATGCAATTTTATTCATAATAAAATCTTAGCCCCTAAATTACTCATTTCATCATAATTTCAGCTTTTGGCTTAAGATTCACCCATCATAACCAAAATACAATCTTAGCCCCTAAATTACTCATTTCTTCATAATTTGTGCTTTGGCTTAAGATTCACTAACATATAACCATTGCATCCCAAATACACTCAAATCAAAGCTCTTCTGTCTCAAACAACACATATACACATAATATAGGCTTGATTTCATAAAAACTAAATTAATACATGCATGCAACTTATGGCAACTCATATACACTTACATATACAATCCTTTACTTCAGTTCATTACACAATCTCAGAGTGTATGGCTTCTCAACTCAAGCTAGTCCAGACTCTCTTCCTTTGGCCTGATCACTTCCTGGTCTTGTAAACATGTAACCATGGGGATGAGATAAAAATCTCAGTAATAGAATAACTCACTCCTATTGACTATCACATACAACAATATAAAAGTAAACATAGTATACCATTAAAATCTCATAAAGTACTATTTACATCATATCACATTTCATATTTTACTTTTCATCAATCCTAAAGGATTTCATACTATCTCAAGATATTTCATCATATCATAAAATACTAGGATGATCTCTACTAACCAAACCTCCAAATCACCCCAACATGAAACATAGGCTCATCTCAGACTAATGTACACTCTTATTAGTCTTGAGCTCACCTGCATTGGTAGAATCACCTAGCTAAAGATGTTTTAATGCATAATATGGACTATGGTTTTCCCCAATACACATAATAGGGCATCATTGACTCACATCCATATCACAAAGATACTAAGGAATCTCTCATTCCAATATAGTACCTTAATATGCACTCAGGAGATCTTCTTTAACATAACACCTTTCAAGGCATTAAGGAGAATTGTTTCCAATACTGCACACTAATAGGGTCCTAAGGAAACCTTGACATATAGTCGTTATCATCCCCTATACTTGGGTGAACTCCCACTATTTAGATCATGCTTTCTTGAACCATTTAAGATTCCCTTTTCACAATTTACTTTTTTTTATACATAACATATATATATATATATCACTTTACATTACAAAACACAATTTCAATACTCATTTTGATTAAAAGTTATTTTACACACATAATCACTTAATGCCGTAAAACATGATCAATTCAAAACTAGTTCATGCATTACATAGTATACTAACATACAGTTATAATAAACAGTCAAATAAAGGAAGTTATTCTGTTACCTCAACCCTTCTGTCACTAGAAAGGTTACCTGTGAATTTTACTATCACACAAGCTTATCTTAAGCTTCATTTCTCTACTCATGTGTCCAATATGCCAATATGAACACATTTGTCATATTTTAGTCATTTGGCCCATTTTAACCAAAAACTCATTTTTACTGTTTAGGGCTATATTCATCCATAAACTCTTGTCCATTTATCCATTCTAAGTTCATAACTACCTAATTACTACTTTACATCACCTTAACTTGTCTTACATCACCTTAACCTGTCTTATTTAACTTTTGCCCTAACTTTCTCTCTCTAAAGGCTAAAATTGAGCCTTCGAGTTCAAAGGTTTACCGTTCAGCTCTAAAACTAATCACAAAGCTCTAATTTAACATCCAAGAACCTTTTTATTACTATTGGGCAAGAATCAAATCCCTCAAATTCCATCGATTCAATTTCCCTATAACTCATTTTCAAAGAAATTTGTGTAGAACAAAAGGTAAGAGTTATACATAGCTTACTTAGCAAGTTACCGATCTAAATCACCTTCCACCATTCCTAAATGACTTAACCTATCTTCTTAACTCTTCTCCTCTCTCTGTTTCATGTGTTTCTCAATTTCTCTCCTCTGAAATTTTCTAAAATTTATGACTTATGAAGTGAATTTCTAGTCCATACATTGCAGCACACGCAGTACAAGCCACAGCACATGGCACAATGAGATTCATTCTCACCACATGCACTTCAACTCGAAACGCACTCCTATCACCCATATCTGCTCATATAACACACAAACAAGTCAAAATACTAATTAATCCTTCGAATTTCTAATCCCACTTTAATTTCCACTTCACCCTTGATTAACCTCTAAACTTAAGATTAAGAAATTCAGGATGTTACAAGAAGGACTAAGGATTTATTCTTGGTATATGGCAGATTGGATGATAAGCTAGTTGTAACAGGTTACATAGATGTAAGCTTCCAAATTGACTAGGATGACCTTAAATCTTAATCAAGATATGTGTTCACCTTAAATGGTGGGGCAGTAAGTAGGAAGGTCTCCAAGTAGAGCACAATAGCTAATTCTACAATAGAAGTATATAGCAGCATTAGATGCAACTAAGAAAGGTGTTTGGATTAGGAAGTTCATTACTGAACTAGGAGTGATGCCTAACATCTCAGATCCAATAAACTTGTTCTGTGAGAATAGCAGTGCAATTGCATAGAGTAAGGAGCTAAGGTTACACTAAAAGACTAAGCATATACTCAGGCATTTTTACCTTATCAAAGAGATCAATGATAGAGGTGATATAAAAATATGCAAAGTAGTGGGAGAAGACAATGTTGCTAGTCCTTTTACAAAGCCTCTTGCATGGGTAAAGCATGAGCGTCATGTCAGGACAGTGGAAATTAGACAAATTAATGATCGTACCTAGTGCAAGTGGGAGGATGTTTGAAATTATGCCCTAGGGCCAATCATTGTACTATGCACATTATTATTTAATGAATTTCTTTTTTGTTACCATATCAATTGCATGATCACTATGATAACTATATTCTTGGACAAACCATAGTGATTGTCTTAAATGTCCCTGGTCAATCATTTATGAGGGATCACATATGAAACAAGACTACTATAACTTTGCTTAATTATAGAGATATAAATCAAAGTCATAGGCACCTGAAAGAGTATAAGGTACTGGACTGACCTGCTATGAGAAAGCTGCATGATGCAAGTCATAAGCCTATCTCAGAAGTAACCATATTACTAAGCCCTTTGACTTGAGATCATCATGGATTCCTACATGATGACTACTAAACTTTGACCTAGTTAAAAGTTACCTTTGATTGGGTGATCATAAATGCTATGATTGAGTTTAGAGATATTCATACAAAGGAATATGAGTGGTCAAGATGGAATTTGTCACTTTTAAAGCCAGTGAATTCTTTTTATCAGCATCTTCCTTTAGTATGGATAGTCTTCCTTTATGCCTAGTAAGACTTCTAAATAGTGCCACCACATATCTCATAGAGCCACTCTTTGCATTAATTTTGGGTTGCCATTCAACCAGGAGACCTCTCATGATTTTTCTAACTTGATCCTTTTTAGTATAGGTCTTTTCAAGTACTGAAAACTCATTCATCATGTATATGTATCTGACTTACATATCATTGATTTTTTCTCTAAGCTTTATCTTGAACGGCTCATATTACTAAGTCAATGTACTCATTTTATTCTCCTTGACTCTTTTGGTGCCTTCATGAGCAATCTCTAGAGCATCCCACATCTCCTTTACTATTTTCAAATTACTTATGTGAAAGTACTCTTGTTGACTCAAGGCACTTGTAATAACTAATTTAGCCTTGGAGTTGAGCAGCATAAAT